AAAAAAAAAAAAAAGATACTTTTTACATGAATCATACTAGGCATGTACAGCTTTGTGCTGTGATAAAAAGAAAAGAAAAAAAAATGCAATTCAGATTTGCAAGATATTCCAAAATCGCAAGAAGTGCCTGCCCTGTACTATAACTTACTGCTACTGTGCAGTAAAGTCAAGTGGCTAAAAACAATCATGACGTAAGATGCTGAAAAACAATAAGATGCACATAAACAAATAATGATAGACATTGCAGATGGAATGCAAACGGCTCCAACGTCTACCACGGATAAACTTGACTGCTGTACATATACATCATGTAGTTAACAGTGATTAATTTGGCTAATTAAATAACATATAAATAATTCAATTAAAATTTCAAATCCTAAATATTCACCACCAGCCACATATTTCTGTTTTCTGTTAAGTATTTATGTTTTAAGCAAATTTCAGATTAGCACACACAAATAACATTTAGATATATCTTTCCAGAAGTAGTAGGAACTCCTGAGGTAAAGCTCTGTTTCTATTTCAAACAGTTTCTCCAGCTGTGTATGAAATAGAGAGGCTGAAAGCACTGCTGCAGGCAGAGAGAAGCAAAAATGAGTTAATGGGTGAAACCATCAGCGGCCTGAAGCAAGACAAAGAACTTCTGCAACAGGAACTCACCAAGAAGGCGGAGCTCATCTGTGACTTCCTGCAAGACCAGCTACGGCCAGGTGACTATTCCTTACAGTCCCATCATACACGCCATTTCTGGATAATAAATAGTTTGTATGATATGAAGGAAAGCATGGAGATCAGAATGCAGGTTGTAATTTGGATAAGGATTGTCTTGTTTTGTCTGGTAGATAAAAGAAGGACACTTTCATCAAGTCAAATGGAGGCAGGAAGCTCACATCAGATTATCACCTCCCTTCCTGAAGAGGGCGCTGTGTTTGACTCACCAGCCCTCTTCGACTCTTTTGAGGAAGTGGAGTTGCATCCACTGGACAGGCAGAGGACCATCAAGATTTCGTCAAAGAGAAGCAGAGATGGCGAGAACACACGTGTCCGAAGTAAGTAATGTAAGACCGAGATTTGGATCCAAAGTCTAGCTATCTTAGATGGGCTCAATAGATGAACTGGGATTTGCTAAATTTGAATTATAGCTCATTATTAATGAATAACAATGCTAGATTTTGATTGTCGTTCAAGTAAAATTTGGTCCCAGTCTGTAGAGTTTCACTAAAGAATTATGTTACTATTTTTCAGTGAAAAACGTTGTGGGTGTTATTGCACGATATATGGCGGCACTGCAAGAGTTTCGACGTAGCATATCCATGAAAGTGGCTTTTGATCGAGTTGGTGTTGACCGCAATACCATTTCGAGAACAGCAGCCATTGCAGAACTGAGCTTGGCGGCTCCTGAAGTCTTCCACGCTCTGCCTCCATGGGACGAGAAGGAGGAAACATTGGCCCACTATGCAGTCAGATGCCGACAGGCCATGGACGACAGCATCAAAGCCAAGATTAAAAGCATGAAGGCAAAGCGGGAGCTTCTACCAATCGTCAGCAAATAAAACATTTACCAGATCTGATTTACAGTGGACATGTGACCAATCTAAAAGAACACTTGTATTTCTCGTCACATTTCAGGCCTTTATCTCTTTTGTCCTCAGCCATTATCCATCACAAAGAGAGTGATGTATGGCAGCACATTTGTTGGAAACTTTCAATCATTTGTTGTGTTGTTCTTGGCCAATTTGGCTTTTAAATAAAATCAAATAATTGTTTTGTATGCCTTGAATCAGTATCATTTTGTTTGACCAGTATTTACTTCAGTGTTAAATATTAGGTAAATATGTAATACTGGTATTAATAACTGTACGACTGCATGCTCACTACCATCACAAACTACAGTGTATGTTTGTACGTTTTGACATGACACCTCTTCCTCTCTGAATACCAGATTAGTGTTATGTAACAAGATTGCCATGGTGCAGACTGTAAAAATAAGTGCGTAATGATGTTACACTACATTGTATGAACCAGTGGGTTCAATGACTGTTACTGTGAGTAATAAATAGAATATCACAATATCAAACCATTTTGATGCTTGTGTATTTTGTAGGAAAAATTATTTTCCCATTATGTTGACAATTAATAACTCAGTCCGCAATACAACCAATACAGAATCAGAGATTAGAAATCTTTACCTAGTCACTGTTTGCTGCAACAGTGGACCTTAGTCAGGATAGCCCCCTTATATTTAATATGGTGCAAATAAAAACGCAGCTGGAGAGAGAGTGAAGTACAGTCTGTTCAATGGATTGTGCCTTGAAAATCTTGTTGTACCTTCAAAACATTTTCTTTCCAAAAATGTCCTGTGGACAAAAAGCTCTTGAAAACATGCTTATATTAGACCAGTGGTTCCCAACCTTGGTCTTGGAGTGCCCCAAACAGTACACAATTTAGATGTATCTCTCTATGTATCTGACACACCCATTTCAGGTCTTGGAGTCTCTATCAATGAGTTGATGAG